CAAAAATCAAATCAAAAAAAGAATGTGCATGAAGCCATTAAAGCAGTAACGGGCATTGATCTCTGAGAGACGAAAGTTTTCCGTCCTGAAGACGTCCTCGTGATGCACTTCCTCAACAAGAAAGTCTGGTCGCCAAGAGCCCTGACGAGTTGAGAATTTGGGTAGGTTGCCGAGCTCCTCCTGCTCATCAAGCCACTGTTTATGTCATTATCAGCTTTGTGAATCCTGTTGCAGCCACCAGCTGCCCCACCAGATGCAGCCCTCTAATTGGCCCAAATCAACTGAAGACCCACTTTTGTACCTAGATCTTTGGCTGCAGGCCAGAGCCTGTAGCTTACACACAATCAAGCATCAACAACCAGAACACCAAGAACCAACCCGTGATAACGTACGTTATTATCCCTGACGGAACCAACAAATCATTTTGTGAGTAAGTGCTTCTACTCTCAGCTTTGTGTGTTCGCCATACCTGCAACAGCTGTTTCTCTTCCTGCTCCAGTGGCATGCGTGCCGGAAAGTTGGCGGCCTTGTCCTTCCACCATCGCGACACAATGTCGTTCATGGCGGCCGTCAATGCGCCATGCAAGTCTTTGAGCTGCCTGCAGTGGCTCTCGGAGATGAGAATCGGCCTGGGGCAGCTCGCGCGGTACGAGCCGTGCGGCCATAATGTCGGCGGGCACTTGGCGAGCAGAATCTCTTCGTGCGCCTCGTGCTCCTGGGCAAAGACGGCGAACTCGGTGGTGTTTTTCGTTACGGATTCGCATACAGCAGACCCAAGACCCAAGCGATCTGGCTTCATCCGCTCAACAACCGGCGTTGCCATGTTGGTGGTGTTTTGGACGTCAATGGCAGGTGACCAAGTTGGGTGGTGAGTATATTATCGGCAAAAACGAATCGTATACCGTTGAAACTCAGGATTCATGAATTTTCCTTTTCCTTTTTTCTTCCCTCCCCCCCCACGCCGACTTATTAGTTACCGTCATGCCGTAATATAAGCGGCATACCAGTGGCGCCACGCCCCCAGTTGGTACTCGCCTTTTTTGGCCTTTGAAGTTGAAGAATCAAGAACGGCATCTGCATGGTCTCAGAACTACCCCCATGAGGGCCGCGGCTGACCTGTTCAGCTTGCACTAGAGTCGTCCACCCTGGCTCCATAGGCCAAGTACATGGACCAAAGCATCCTGATTGTTACCCAATATAGGGACGATCTCCGTGGCACTTGTGCGAAGTGCCGTCACATTAAATCTGGTCCCGAATCGTTGTTTCACATGAGAAAATCTTGACAGGGGAGTTTAGGATTGCTCAGGCAAGCCAGTTCCAGCCCCGTATAGTTGCATGATGGGCTGAGAAAGGGGGATGCATCTAGGTCTATGAAAGACACAGAGTGCGATACGGCTACCAGACGTGCGAGATTCGCGGGGCACCATCCACCGGCTACCAGAGGCTCCTGTATACCGACAGAGAACACTCCCAGCTGGTTGTCCCTCATCTGAAAGCACCTCACATCTCTTGTAGCCAAGATGCGGACCATGTCCGTCAGGTGGCCCAGCGCCTCCAGCAAGACGGCATCCTCAAAGTCACGCTCGAATTCGCCGACGACGAGAGCAGATATCTCGAGGCGCTGATCCGGAGCTTGCATGCCCGGCACGGCCATCACGCCCCCCTCCTCGCCCACAGTGCCACGCGCGGCTAGAGTCTGGGAGCTGCGTCCCAGCAGTGCGAGCTTTCAGACGGCCAACCACCAGGCGCGGTCCGAGACCATGCGGGACTTTCCTTGACACACCGACTGCAGCTACGAGTACCCACCGCCTCGCTTTTTCGCCCTCCAGGTGCTGCAGCCGGACCGCTTCGGCGGTGGGACCCTGTCGGTCATGAGCGTGGAGCGACTGGTCAAGGGCATCTTGGGGGCGGCAGATGCGGCGCCACGCTGGCGACGCTGATGAAACCGGACGAATACCGCATCGCCATCCCGACCGAGTTTGTCAAGGGGCAACAACGCGGCTCGGGGGGGCGAGACGAGGCGATGGATCCGTGGGGGCCTCATCATGGCCAACAATAGGGAACGACCGACGCTCATCCGCTTCCGAGAGGACATCGTCACGCCGCTGAGCGACCAGGCGGCGAAGCCCGGACCAAACTATTGCCCAAAGCTGCGAGCGTTCCAATGTCTCAACAATTCATTGCTGTGCTCGTCGCCGCACCAAGGGACCCTGGGTAATTCGTCATCTGTCGTCATACATAGCTCGTCTCTGATCACACGCATGAAGAGGCTCTCGTGTTCCTAGACAAGCTGCACACTAGCACCTCGAAACAAAGCGCAAGACTGTCCTCATTTTTTGTCCAGCGTTCCATATTTTGGTCAAAATCTCTCTATATCCTGCGGTGCAACGCAAAGCAGCGCCCGAAGAACGTGGCATTCGTGATATTCGTGACATTCGTGACAGAAGCATGAGTGCAGAGCCCGCCGTAGGTGACACATCTACAAGTCCGGCAAGGGCTCACACACATATGGAAGTGGGCGGGCCTGCAGAGGACGAACATCGAACAAGACTTCAAAATGCACAAATGGAGGCTGCGGATGCTCAGATATGATTAAAATATTTTCTGGCGAAAGAGAGACAGCATGGAGATACAGTGGCAGTGCTCAAAAACACCCTAGCTGCTCGCGTTCTTGACCCGGAGCTGCGAATATATCTCGATTATGGGTGAGAAACTGGCGACGTCTCAGACTGCAAGGGTAGGCGGCTAAACCAAAACCAAGATACTCGACACTAGGTAGGCATCGGGCAGCGAAAACGATTCTCGGGGTCATACATGGGCAAAATTGTACGTACTACACGTTGTACAACGCGTCGTGTAGTTTGGCCCTTGATTCTGTGGTACTTACACTTCTTGGCTGTTGTACAACTGTTGTACAACACGCTCTGATTGGCCCAATTCATTCAATCTCCAAATAGTGACCGACTATTTCGTCAACATTTGGCAGAGCCCATTGGTAATTCGGTTTTCACCCTTGCTGTCTGTCACACACATCCACAGCCAGCGAGAATTCGCCCGTCGCTAAACGGTCTCGGTAGGAAGAAAATCGGACTTGGATTCAACCCAGAGCAGGTAGAATGAGTAGCTTACAAGAATTATGGCGAAAAACATTGTCTTCTGCCACCAGTTCAGAAATTCATGACGCTGGACGAGCCTCATGTTATCGATCTCGTGTCACGTGCATACAACGCGTTGTACAACAACTATACTACACATAATACAACGTGTAGTTGTAGTATAGGACCTATTCTACATTTGTTGTGTAGTATGAGCCCAAACTACAGTTGTACAATTTTGCCGAAGTATGCTCGGGGCACTATTGCTACTGTTCAGCCCGCAGCGTTCACATACATGTCATACGTATGGGGCCTAGTGCCAGCTCACCATACAAGACGACTTGAGCCGACTAGAACAGCGCATAATTTGCCAGAGACAGCTTTAGCGGAGAAAGGGCCTACTGCTAATCCAACATGCCTCAGCTTCTTGCAAGACCCTTTGTTTTGGTAAAGCATACGGCACAGAGTGTGATTACACATGTTTCTAGCCTTTGCAATTGCCAAATCATTGGGACAGCCCGAAGACAAAGACCCTTCGTGGTTTGGCACACTTCACATATCCGGCTTCTGCGGCTTGTATAGAAAAAAATCGCGCGTTGAGGCAATGGATTTTAAATTCACTGATGATAGCTAGTAGGGATTTGCGAGTTAGCTAGTCGGGATGTTTTTCTGGTTGGCTGCCTGGTTTGGTGACTGCGTGTAACCGCGGGCGAGCCACAGCAGAGCATCGTGACTTTCTGGCTATTCCTCTTGGCTTCGCTGCACAAATGGCGATAGAAGGCGCACAGCTAATGTGAAAAAAATTGCGTACGTTTTTCAGTCTTGTCAACATAATTAGCGACCCTTCATGTAAATGGCTTACACTGATTCAATTCTTCCAAATCATCAGTATGCCCAAGTGCGGGTTTTTCTTCTTGATCGTCCACTCCTCCTCGCTCAGTCGCAATTTCATTCTCCACATCTCATCGTCGAGCAGAATCTCGCGCCGCCACTCAAGTCTGCCCTTTAAACCCGCCGCGCGCGCCGCACTTTTATACACGGAGGGACGTAAGTGGTACGTCATGAAGTTTGTGCCCTGATCGTCAAGGTAAACCCGTAGACCCCACCCGTCACCACTGTCCAGCTCTCCCGTATATTCATTGCGCGGGTAAAGTCTGTTCAGCGGAGCCGTTGCGCATGCCTCTGCGCGGGCTTCGAGGTTTTCTGTGGGATGTGGAACGACACCAATGAACACGCCGGTCGACTTCAGGTTGATGGCCACGCTGGTAAACATAGCAGTCAACTCGGCAGCTGTCGCGCTATAATTCAGGAACCACGCAGCAAACGCAATGTCGTATGCCTCCATCTCGCCGCCGGCGCTATGTGAGCGCGGAGCTGTTCCATCAGCGACAACGAAACGCGCTAGGTTGTTATACGGAGTTGGCACGAGGCGTAGACAAGCGAGTTCGATCATGCGTTTGGAAATGTCTATCCCGGTCACAGAGCTCGCGCCCCATAACAGAAGCTTGTCCGTGTAGAAGCCCGCGCCACATGCAAATTCGATGACGTTCAAGTCAGGGCGAAGGATCGACTCGAGAGCGGCGTATACATTGACGACTTCCATATCTCGGTAGGGAAGGGAGTCGAAGACATCGGTGTACTGCTTGCCTATTGTGTCGTATTGTGTCATGACAAAGATAATCCCGCCTTTTTCTTCTTTGATGTAGAGTTAGAGCCAGTGAGGGTCAAATGTCCAGGCTTCACAAGGAACCACTGGCCCCGATCTGCGCTAAGTCGTTGTGCTTTTTTTTTCAGCTGGGATCGCGAAAGCCGAACTGCGCTTCTCGCTTCGCTAGGTTTCCACTTTTTTTTCGAAACATAGAGAGACTATTTTTTGTCTACCGTAGTAGGCCCACGGACACTATATGAATAGGGGATACTATTCGCTCGAAATGTTACTTTTTTTCAATGACTCACCAGAAGCAGGTGAGCATAATGATCTTGCCACATCGTGCAACAGTCAGCCTATTGTACGCCAGCCTCTCGAGGCTTCAAACCACATATAACTTTATCGATATATTCATAGAGGTCAATCTTAAGCCTCCATATACACGGCTATTCGATAAAACATTTTCTGTGTCACTCTGGAATTGAGTCACAGAAATCGTCAGTCTTTCAAGTTACATCTCTGGAAGCTTTAGAATGGCACAATACGACGCTATTGCTACGAAGTACGATTTCATCAAAACCACCGCATTCAACGCCGTGGAGCGGCACTCCTTTGGCACATGCGTTCAACCCTTTTTGAACCCCCCGCGCACAAAAGATGTGCTTGACCTAGCCTGCGGCACTGGATTTTACTCATTTTGTTTGCTTGAATGGGGTGCTCGGTCGCTGACGGGCGTGGATGTGTCCCAGGTTATGATTGACGCTGCAGCGGCGCGGTTGCAGGGATCGGAGCATGCCACAAACGTGAAATTTATTCAAGGTGATGGACTGGCTCCGAGATTGTTTCCTGTCGGCAACGAAGAGAGGGAAGGGAGTTTCGATGTGGTAACTGGAGCTTGGTTCCTCAACTATGCTAGTAACGCAGACGAGCTGCGAGCCATGTTTGACACCATTGCCTTGAACCTCAAATCCGGTGGCGTATTCGTCGGTATTTGCGTGCACCCTACAAATGACGTCTTCTCCTTTGCTCAGGATGTCAATGCCAGCGCATGGTTCAGCTCAGACGTCCATTACGTGTACGCCGCGAAACCACTTGCTTCTGGTCAGGGGCATGTTTTTGATGTGATCGTCACACCGGCGGCCGATGCCAAGCCGAGTACGGAAGGAGTGCGCTTTTCGTCGTTTCATTTGCGGAAGGCACTGTACGAGGAAATGGCGCGGGCGGCGGGATTGAAGGGCACAATGGAGTGGAGAGACTGTGTGTTCCCGGAGGGATGGAGGGAGAGAATTGGATTGGGAGCGGACGAGAAACGATGGCGCACATTAACGGACTTTCCGCTTCTCTGTAACTTGGTACTGTTTAAAGAGTAGAGTCATAAGACTCTGCTGGGCGAGAAGCAGACCAATTTCGCTCGAGATAGGCTTGGATTTAGGCTTGTCGCCCGGTCAACCCCTTCTTTCGGAGTTTGTCATTAGTTGGTCAACAATTGTCATATGATACGGCTGAAAGGTCATGTTCTAGAGCACGTACCTTTTTCATTGCCCCGGGATGGTTTGAACGCAGGAAGAAAGTCAGGGCAAGTTGATGGGTTGGAGGAAAGAATCTATTGATGGTATGTGATACGTTTATTGGCAAGGTCTCAAGCTAGGGCGCGTGGTCTAAAATGTTGTCGCTTGCTCCCTTCTCGCGGTATTTTGACACGGTCCTCGCCACTCGAGCCATGAAGCGTAGGTAGAAGGTTGTTCTAGTGATACAACAGTTAGCCAAGCACAGCTCGAAAGTGACGGGACAACTAGTGTAATGCTTCGTTGGTTCAACCGCTAGATCCGCTTTGCAGTGGCAATTGAAGACAGGTTTTCTCTACCCGATACCCCAGTGTGGTCAGGGGCAATGCTGTTCCAAAGAGAGGATGTGCAAGGAGCGCCCCTGGCTCCTTGCAACGTGGCGGTCGCGATGCGATGCCAAGCAGCGTTTTTGACTCGGCGCCGGCGCGTCTATCTCTAATGGTAAGTGACAGAGTGAGTCTACATTTATCAATATATCTTTTGTTAAAGGAAAACAATCGTGGCTAAATCTGAAGATGACATAGGCTGATACACTTTCATTGGTGAGCCGCAAATAGAATTTGCTACAGGGTCTGCGTGCTGAGGTAAAGCCCGCAACGATGCCAGCTACTGACAAGCCCGTGTCAATCGATAATGTCAGGCAGAGGGTAATGAGTGAAGCAAGTAGAGCAACAATCACGGGCAGCGAGCCTGGCCAGCCGGGTTCACGGAGTCGCAGCATAAGCCAGTCACACATGGCTCCATCAAATGCGTCCAAGATGTCCCCGGTGACCGGAGTGGCCACTTTTCCACGGATAAAGGCTGCTTTGTGTGTTGTAGCTACACTTAGCAAGGCTGTCGCCAGCCTAGCACGACCTGTGCCCCCCGCTGGAGAACCTGAGTGACTTATGGCCGCTGGACGGAGGATTCACCATCACGCAAACATACAAACGGCTCCCACCTACGCCTAGTGATGGAGCCAATGCAATGAATTGAGTCCATCACACCAATGCTCATGTACGTCTATGGGACTGTTCCTGAATTCCAAAAGAATCAAACGGATTGATATTGGGGAGAAAGAAGACCACCCAACCGCGAACTTTCTTCACCCACGAGCATGTATCAATTTTGCGACTAGTTTCTCCTCAGACAGACGTATATCCATCGAAACCGGACTCTCGCATCCCGACAATGTCTGAGAAACCTTTTTAAAGCTCTGGCTTTCCACTGCTCAAGTAAGCCTTCCTCTTCGGCCACTACACTTTTACCCGGTCCTACTTGCGCTCGAATCGCTTCTTTCAGAAACTCTGACAGAATCACGAAACCAAAGTTGATCATTTCCTCCGCATATTTGGTGCTCTCTTCCAAGCTTGTGCCAGGTCTAGCCAGCTTGCTCGATTTCGGGTGCTCAATATCCTCCTCAGAAAGATACACAGTGGACCACGTCGAGTTTACCTCGGCGGAGCTTAGTACAGCTTGGACTTGCTGTAAATCACGAGCAAAAAGGGGGGGGTAGAACAGGTTTGCTGTCGTCAAGGTTATGAGTCCGGACCCCACCATCTCATCAAGTGCCAGAAGTAGGCACTTGAAGACCGGCGTTTCCCAAAATGCACAGGTAGTCGATCTCCCGACGAAACTCAAAATAAGGGGTGCGCCAGAAACGAACTCGTCGCCACGAACTCGAAGAAACTGGTGCAAATCCGCGTCGGATTGCCCCCTGCAGGTGTTTTGGCGGGAATTCATAAGCAAGACGCGGTCGACAAAAGGATAATTCTGTGCAGCGTCTGCTGGTGGGACTTGGCTCAGCCATTGTAGACAACTGAAAGAAAATCCGAAATGGACTTGTCTATCTGGAACAATTTGCTGATAAAAGCTTCGTCCTATCATGAGAGGGAAAACCCGAGCAGACGGATAATCCTTTGCCCATGCGGGCATAGCTGAATGCATTGTTCTTGCCAGAGAGGTAAAATCGTTTGCTGGAGTGTCGACTAAGAAGTATTGGACGTCGATCGGGTGGGCGGGATCCCACGCAGCGGAGTTCAGAAAATGCGACAATGGCGATATGCTGCGTGTTCATGTCAGTAACGGGACACATTTTGCTGTGATACTCTGCCGAATCGCTTACGAATTGATCCCTTCGGAAGCCCCATAGTCTACCACCGTGTGCAGCCTTTCGTTGAATGGGCAGTTTTCACAAGCAGCGGGAAAAAGAGAGAGGGCTTTTACCATCGCTGCCTTTTGTATTTTGGCATTTCGATTGTAGCAGCCATTTCCGCGCATCGACACCGAGATATCGAGGAGAGATGATGGCGCAACGGCAAGTTTTGTGTGCTGCTGTTTTTCCATTAGGATCGCTCTGATGGGTCGTGGGATCAATCGTGCAAAGATCAATGATTTATGCGAAGGTGTAAGGACATAACAGCTTTGCGTCGGTGCGTTATGAATGGAGATTCTGCAGGGCCTCCCGCCTCGTCACGATGGGTGGCCGTCTCCATCAGCGAAGCGCCCTGCACTACAGTACAAAACTTTGGTTCATTCTTCCTTATTAAGATTTCCGCCTACCATTTTCTTGTCTATCTCCTCCTGCCTCCTTCCAATCCCTTTTCTATTCAGCCAGTGGCAAAAATGCCGCCCTACGCCTCTCTGCAGGCTGACGTATTCTGCCGAAAAGCAAGGATTCTTTGGAGCCACAGCTAGTCTAGATAAAACAGACCTGATGTGACTCGGTTTTGAGCCATCGTTACACCAAAGGTATAGAAGCCTTCCTCCTGGATGCCGTGTTTCGTGACTGTGTCACATACGAGCTGCAGCCAGCCAAGACTAACGGTTGCATCTTCGCATAAAGCTCTTTGGTAGCCATATTTATGCGTAAAACGTGTGCACAACTCTCTATGGCGCGTGACAATGTAGGTCAAGTCCACGAGTTTTTCTTTTGTAGCTTACCCGGCATAAATTGAACCTGCAGGCTAATGTTATGCATGTTTCAGCAATATGTGCTTGGGAGAGATGGCACTAAAAGAGTTACAACATGTGACAAATAAGGATGTGGAAGATTCGCAGAATACACTCTCAATGGTCCTGTCGTTCATGAGTCAATATTCTTTGCCGTTGCTGGTTTTTTTTGAAATCCTTCATTATAGATAAGTCTTGTGTCTGTCTTGCAGCTACCAGTCCAACGAAAAGTTCCGTAAACCCCTCTGTTCCATAACCAGGCTCGGAGAGAGGGAAACCGGCCAAATATGGAAATCAGAATATTTGCTTGCAAGGTACTTTGGTGGGACGGCAAGGCGCGCACCGAGTCAAAAAGGAAGGGGATGAGCCGGCTCCGATGTTCTTGACGGACATTGGCCGATCGCCGCTGAATCAAGACTACTTCCCTTTCCCGCTGCAGACTTATTTTCCCAGCAACTTGCAGGGATGTTTCTGCGCATGCGCCAAGGCGGTAAGAGCTGATCTACCTACCCTATCTGCTCCCTCTCAACCTTGACTGCTACACGGGCGTCACCAGATCCGCCCAAGGCAAATGGCACCGCAGTGAATCGGCAGGGCTATCTACTTGTAGAGCTTTGCTCTGATTATTTGGTACCAGCGACTCGCTTCTCGGGGGGGTTTTTTTTTGGCTTATTTAACGCCTGTGAGAAACGAAAACACGAGAAATGCGTTCATAATGCGACCACAGCCGGCCGATGGTCTGTGTTCTTGTCTACCCGTCTTTCAGCTGGCGTAAGACGATATGTATGTTTCACGACCAAGGTGGATCTGCATGAGATGCACTCTTGTCTCTCCTGCTACACATTTGGTAACCGCTTCACAATGGATCAACTTGTGATTTCGAGTCTCTAGAGATTTAGAAGGACTTTTCTCGGTTGCATTTGGGGAGATTGTCGTGCAGGATAGACATGGAGTTCTAAAGACCAGCTTTGTGTAACAGCAGTAACCACAACAACCTGCTGTCAAGCGCTGCCAGGTAGAAATATGTACCGCTCCCACCATACTTTTTCGTTTTTCATTCATACCTCCTCTGCTTGTACGTACTTTTGCGTATTTGATGTCACTGCCCAACACTTTAGCTTACCGGGGCCGATGAGGCTCAGTCAATCAATGAGGCCGCTTTTCGACAACGAAGCGACCATGAGACCAGTCCCAACTCGGCGCCCTCTCTACATGATAAAAGTACGTTGGAAGAAGAAATTCTGTTACCGTTCAATAGGATCGTCTGTGTTTGTCAATTCGTTCAGTTCGTCTCTTCTGTCTCGTCAAGTTTGCGGTCAAACATGGGCCTTTCCGGTGTTTCTCGAACGCAGTACTGACGGTCTCGGGGCTGAGCCGTGTTCCAAGCGCTGCACTACTCGTGTTTGACCCTTTCCAAGGGACTTTGACAAAGGAACCCAGCCGTGTTCGATTCAAATTATGGTGTTGCTATACTAGTGTCGTTTCAAATGGCCAAGCAACCTGTAGTCAGCTGGTCACAAAGCCGGCTTTTCTTTCCCAAACATCTGTGTAGTTGACTATAGGAAATGGCCAGTTGTTGATGCTGTTTGTCTTCTTAGGCTATTCGTCGTCCATGCCTAGCGGCTCCGTCGACTTCAGCCTCACCAATTTCGAGTCGGTTGCTTTTCGTCCCTTCGGGCTGAGAAGCCATTCTTGACGATCTCTACACAGAAAAATTTGATTCGTGGCATGTACATCGTGGCACACAAGGGTGTGTAACACAACTGTGCTAGAGATGCAAGTCGGTCTTCACCGACGATGCCCAAATTTCCGAGACAGGGACCGCACATAACACTAAGAGCTGGCCAAGCTATTAGTCTTCTTTTCAATTGTCTATCGTGCGTGATATACAAGCAAAGAATAGTTGTAGCAGCAATAAATAGCAGTAAACAAAAAAAAAGTAGTCCATCAACTGCATTCGTCAATTTTTTTTTACAGCATTAGTCTGCCAAGTTCGCCTTCCAGGATTAACTTGCAGCGCTGCAAAGATACATATGCCCTATCCTCTTCAGTTTTGGGCACAGCCAGGGTAAATACGTCACCACCCGACGACAGGCCAGGCACGGTTTCTCTATGCCTACAGTACCGATCCACACCAGCTGACGGTAGGTTGGCGGCAAGTCGTCGTGCAGCCACAGTTGGACAAATTCATCCCGTACAATGGTGGATAGGTCACTAGCTTCTTCACAGTCCCAAAACGGCCCCTCATCACCACTACAGCCGTTTTCGCCTAAGGGATAGGTATTTAGCCCGCATTGCATCTGAAGGGGTCCCCTGCTGGCGTGCAAACTTGGGAGCGTGCATCATTGCTACTGGTATGCCCCAGCGAACTTCTCTCTTTGAATAAAAAAAATGAATAATGAACTTTATAGAGGAAGAAAAGTCTCGGCAACGCTCTGCATTACAGCAACGCATAATCAATGTATGCAGAATGCAACAGTGCAGGCGCCAAATGCAACAATTTGGATGCGAATAGTCGGTGTATGGGCTTACAACAAGAACCGTAACTTGCCGTAGGAGTGCCACCATCATAGAAGGGCCACGATCTCGCTAGATTCATGCCGAAGCGGAAATCAACTAAGAAACGACCTAACAATGAACAATAGCAGCGATTCGCATCGGCCAGATGAATAACGGGCATCAGCGTTCTTATGCAGCCGCTGGCCAATATGGCAATACGGGATGGGACACCAGCGCACGCTCTCGTTCAGGTTTACAGGCGACAATATCTACCGGAGTCCACCCGTCCATCCGCCGCACCCTCCTTGTTCCCCCAGCATAATTGTCCCAGCAGTGCATCCACCTTCCGCTTTGGATCGGAGTCGCAGCCAACAGGGCAAAAGGGGCTCACTTTGACATTTGATACGCTACTTGCAGATGCTTTGGACAAACAGCCACAAATGACTGTACTTCGCCCCGATTCGGTCTATAGCGGCATACCAAAATAGACGTTTCGCAGATGCCCGCCTTTGAACTCAACTGGGATGTGGTCACGAGAAAAGAGCGAAAAACTTCGCAGTTACTTCCTTCTTCAGCAAGCACTTAACAGCCATCTACATAAAAATCAAAATTCCGCCATTACAAGCATATTGTTCGCCGCAGCGGACCAAAAAGGCCTGCCACCCCTGGCGAGGTTCTGCTCGTCATTACACTCTGGCGCATAGTTCTTGTCCTGACTGGCTCTGTTCGGCGCCTAATCTCCTTGCCTATGAGGGGCTCTACGACATCTTTTTGACGTCTTGGTATCTTGGTGTCTTGCAAGGTCCAATCACCCGATTATTGAACAGTCGTTGCTGGCAAAGGTCAATCATCGAAGACCGCATCATTCGCAGCTCATTTTTTGCCTACATGACAGGGCCCGATGACACTTTGCTCGGATACAAAGAATAAACGATCGCCCGCGCGTCGCAACAGCAATCTTCTGGCATCATACAACAGTAACAGCATTAGCAACACTACTGTGGTAGCGACAGCCTTCGCCATCTGAGTCCAACGACAGTCGCGCGATGAACAAAGTGCCCGCCCCGGGAACCGGTGTACAGGACAAATCTGGTCAACCTCAACCCCCCCCCCCCCTTGCACTCTGCGCGACCCTGCGTCCCTCAGCATGACTGCAAAGCACGGGGAGTCGGCTCCCATTCTCCAACGAACTTATTTTACACCAGCAGTGCCCACCAGCACGCAAGAACCTGCGGCAGCGGCAGGGGAAAAGAAGCGTAATAAGCTTGGATATCACAGAACAGTGATAGCATGCAGTAAGTACGGCGCTCTTCGCCGTCCATACGACTCCTGGCTTGCTGCGCGGCCGCGTGGTAGCTCGTACTACTGGAGCTTTGCTCGAGGCACGACTAACCAAGCCTGCGACACAATAGGCCATTGCCGACGCCGAAAAATTCGCTGCATCGTGTCTTCAAAAATACAGAATCGATGTATAAGCTGCATACGACTCAAAAAAGACTGCATCTTCTGCCCTGTTGACCAGCCACCGACAGTGGACTCACAAGGCAAGCCTGCTGGCCCAAGAACTGGCAGCTCAACAGCGCATTCGCATTTCTCCTCGCCAGCGCTCGCATTTCGGCATTCCGTTGACATGGCATCAGAATCCATGTACGGGATGGGACCGAAGCAGGATCCCAATGGGCACGCGGCATCCGCTATTGCGCAGTCCAGTGTTGGGTATCTGAGCGTTATTGGTGAAGGTTTGTCAACTCGACGTGAGGGCTCTTTGGGAGTCGGGACGAATTTGACTGACGATGTTGGAAACTAGGAGTAAGCATGCCGATTGCCCCCGAACAGGACTTTAGTGTCTCAACGGGAACGAGTCTCGCCTGGGGAACCGTCGAGCCAAGCCCAGTTACACTGCCTGGATCCAAGGATAAGGGCTATGAGTGGTGTCCATATGGCAGCGGATCTGACTCTACAGAACAAATATCGCCTTTCGCCTCTGGATCAACCACTCCAGCGACTTGGGTGACCACAATGCCCAGAACGCCCCAGTTCACCGACTGGAACTGGAACAACGGTATACTTTCGACGGCACAAGCGATATCCGCGTCCTTCAGTGGCGAAGTCATGAGTCACCCGCAGCATCAATTCGTACCTGTTTCAAGCAAATCGCCGTATAATGGGGCGGTCCCTAATATGGGGAACACGTTTACGTTGCCGATGAACCAGGCCTCGGTAGCAGGCCATCTGCCTAGCCAAGCCTGCGACCCCAGCGGCGGATGGCAACCACAGCAACAGTCGATGCTCTGAAAACAACAGCCTCTGCAGCAAAATATGAGCATCAAATCCTAGAGTATTCCCACATGGTAGCGGTCCGCCCATGTGAGGATGCCTCGGGCATACTTGACAAAATTGTACAACTGTAGTTTAGTCAAGAACTGCACAACAGGTGTAGTATAAGGCTTATACTAGAACTACGCGTTGTATTATGGTAGTTTACTTGTTGTACAACGTGTTGTATGCACGTGAATGGTAGCTTGATAATTTGAAGCTGACCACATGCTGTCTCGTGCTACCAAACCAAAAGTTTATTACGCCCGGTGACTAAACAGCCAATAGGGCTCACTAGCTAAGCTACTTTACATGTCCAAAATTACGTCTTTGCCTCCTGCAAGCCCATAAGTATTCAG